GGCACGCCTAGTACACCCAACGTACCTTATGTACGCTTAGTGTACTCTTCTGGATCCCAATGTTGCAACTTTAGCCCTTAGGCTTCTCATGACTTCACTCCTCCAATCAAAGAGACTATAAATGTCCAAATAATAATAGAGGGGGATTCAAAGATACCTTGTAAATTCTGGGATGTTACAGATCTAATCCTTAATAAGCATCTAGAACTATAAAGTCACTGACTTGGTGACTTTTCATGCCCCAAAAGGACCTAACTTCAAGATATAGCACTTTACTCTCATTAAATGGACACAATCTCATGCATGGGTGACTCTAAACCCTAAAGGTGCCAACTTTATGGACTTTGAACCTCAGAAACACCAAGAGTGACAACTCATAGCTCATGGAGTAGTGACAAACCTATAGATCTTATTCATGGGACCAAAAAGGGTCCAAAACTCATATAAACTAGATCTAAGCTTTTAATGAACAAGATCATAGCTTTTTACCTCAAACAAGTTGGAAATGGAGTAGAGAATTAGGATCCACAAACTCTTCCTTGATCAACAACCTTGCACCAAACTCCTTCTTCTTGATAAAGAACCAAAACACACCAAAAAGCACACAATGAGCTCAAAAACACAAAGGAAATGTCTAAGGCTTCGAAATGAGGTTATAAGGTCAGAGAGACAGTTTTTGGATTATCGATTATCAGAAGAAGAAAAATTGGAGGTTTGTGGTGGCTTAACTCGAAGGTGACGATGCTCTCTGGTATAACGAAGAACACTATCATCGGCCAATTAGCGAATTGGAAGAGTTTAAATTCCTAATAAAATAGTGATTCGGACCTTCCATTGTGAAGGTTCCTACGTTGGAATGCAGTCGTAGCAAGAACGTAGTCTTATGCATATAACGACTCCGTTAAATGGCTGACAGGAAAAAGAAGACCTAGGTGATCAGAAAGTTAGACTTAAAAACGACATGTGGGCCGAAATTGGATTGTTAGACCCTGAGAAGTTGGATCTGACAATGGACTCGGATATTAAAATGGAAGATAAATTAAATCCAGTCTGAATAAACCTAATAGCCCTAAAACGATGGAAACGTCTACTCCACCGAGTTTTCACACGATACCGGTAACACTTATGACGACCAATAGTCAAAATCTTTCAATACTCGAGAAACTTCAGTAGGGGGATATTAATCAATCTTTGTGTAAGGCTGGTGGTGTTACCACAAGGAACCAATAAGTTAATTCTTTGCCTCCAACTCAGAATATGCAGGATTTTAATTCTTTAGTGCATTATGATCATCAGGCAGGTTGGTTTTCTCTTAGTCATCAATCTCAGCTTCCCTTAGCCTCAAATTAATCGGTTTCATCCCTGACATATGGTTGGTGTGGAGGGGCCCTGGTTTGAACTAAGTTGTGCTTTGGAAAAACTCATTGGTCAAAGGTATCATATCAAGAGATGAATTGCCCCAAAAAAATATAGAGAACTCGTGATGCATTTTGAGATCTGGGGAACAACATTCACGATCAGTGGCAAGGTTCTTGCATATACCCTTTTTGGAGCTGATTACATTGAAGCAGGTGGAGATTGTGCAATTTTAATAATTGATCCTCAAAACATACTTTGCGGTTCTGAGGAATTGATGGAGGTTGATGATACTGAACCCATGAAGATGGTGATATCTTATTTGGAGTATGTGTCATATGTGGCAAAGACGTCCCTCACATCAGATGTAGTGGAACAAGTGGGTGGGACATATATGGGGATTGTTGATCATGGTATGGCAGAGAGCAAGACGATGAGGTCCACCTAGAAGAATCCTGATGCTATATACCCTTTCTATCCACCTTGTAGGGGTGTTCACGGGGCGGTTCGGTTTGGATAGTAATAAAATTGTGAACCGTGACCACAGGACGGGTACCTTACATGCACTAACCAAAACCGAACCGAAATGATAAAAACCCGAACCGTGCTGTGTAAAGGCGGGTAACCACGGTTCAGTTCACGGATACTCGCTAAATACAAAAATATAAAAATCAATCAAAGTTATAAAGTCCATTTTAGCCATGCTTTTTGAAAATTAAATAGATAGACATAAAACATACTTGTGATAATTATGATAAAGTTGATAAAAGAACATATATACACACTTTATAATTTATATAGCTATTAATTTAAGGATAGCGTCATGCGAGTTATGATCCTAATTTGTGTGAATTTTGTATAAGCATTGGAACGCATCTTTAATTGTTTACTTGTTTGCTTGACATATCAATTTGAAACTAGACATCGAACAATATATATATATATATATATATATATATATATATATATATATATATATACATATAGAGAGAGAGAGAGAGCTAGGTTTAGGTGTTTAAAGTAAGTATTGTGTTATTGTATGCATAAATATGGGCCAATCAAAATTTAAAATAAAAATAAATAATTAAATAAATAAATAAGGGTAAATAGGTAATTTGATAATTAGTTTCCACAAATAATAGCCTATAATTGTGGTAACCATTGACTTAGCTACCTAGGTTTTTTCTATCGGTCTTTTTCAAACTTGCCCTACCATCGGCAACCCTTCCCCTCCCATGCGTGTTTTGCTACCAGACCAATCAAGAGGCGGCAGGAAACAACCCATCGCCACCACTGCCTTTGCCTTCTCCTTCTTAAAAAAATTTCAGGCACTAGAGGTGCTTTTCCGATCCTTCCCGTCGCTGTTTCCATTATTCTTCATCCTTTCCGTTGACTAAATCAGCCAAATGCCCCCTGAATCATCAACCACCGCTGCTGTCATTCCCGATCGGTGGCTGTCGATGACAAAATCATGAGGCCTAGGAAGAATCGACGGCCCTGACGTCCCCTTCTCCCTCTTCTCCACGATGGAATTCCCTCATAGAGCCATCCGATTCGCCTCTGAATTCCTCTTCCCTCCACTCGACAGATAAGCCATTGGAGGAGTTTGTCTACTTCATTCATGTTTCTTTTGTTCATCTGTTCCTCTTCCCTGATCAAACCCAAGGTTCGATTTCATTTCTTTCTTTTAGTCGTTCAATTCTTTTCTGCTATTTTGTTCTTTGTGACTCTTTGTGACTCTTTAGGGCGCCCCTAGTGAATTGCTTCAACCCTAACTCTCCCCCTTTCAACAGATTGTGTTTTGCTTTTTTGGATTTTAATATATCTGCTATAAAATTCTTTTTTTATTTGTTTCATTTGCAGGTTTCAAAGAATTGAGAGGGACGAGGAAGAGTTTTGTTTCAATTTTAGGTTGGTTTAGTGAATTGAAAGACAGTGTCAGGTTTCACTGAAATTTGATTGTTTATTTTGTTTAATTTTGTTAATGATATTTGTTGCTTCTGCTTATTTTAGGGCTCGATTCACTACCCAACTGATCAGTTTGATTTTCCAACGGGGTTGTACAAGATTATAAGTTCCAATTCTGTTGGAATCACAAATTCCAAATAGTTATCAATTCTGTTGGAATGGAATGACGAATTCCATTTCTATTGGAATCACAGAAGTTGATGCTTGAAGAACGGACCACAAAATTGAAATAGACCACATTATTCTTTTAGAATGTATTAGTCGTTGTTAGATTTTGATGTTTTCTTTCTCGTTTTGATTGTTTTTTTAGTTTTATTCTTTAATAATAAATGTATTATTAACAATTTTTAACCGTATTCTATAAGAAATAATGTATTTTTTTATTCTTCTATTGATTGTTCAAGAATTTGTTATTCTACAAACAGTTTTTAAATTCATGATCAAGAAATAGGTTCAAGAATATTTTTATTATTTATGGTTCAAAAATATTTTTATTTTTGAATATACTCATAAACATATTTTGTCAGAATGTCCGAATTAAAAGAATTATAATTCGTAAAATCAGATTTTTAAAATTAATAGAATCTACGATCCCTTAAAAAATGCAATTTTCCTTTATTGAGTCTATATTAATTGACTAAATTACCCTTGTAATTAATTAAGATGATATTTTTCAATTATATTTAATTAAATAATATATATTAATCACTTTCTTAAAATATATAAATTTGATTGGCTCACATTTATGCATACAATAACACAATAGATACTCTAAACAAAATAACTTAAGCCTATATATATATATATATATATATATATATATAATATATATATATATATATATATATATATATATATATCCTATATAGGCTGAACCTAGCTCTATATAGGCCTAGGTTATTCTATTCAAAGTAATTATTATGTTATTGTATACATAAATGTGGGCCAATCATTTTTGGTAAATTACAGTACTTACTTTAAACACCTGAACCTATCTCTATATAGGCCTAGGTTATTCTATTCAAAATAATTATTGTGTTATTGTATGCATAAATGTGGGCCAATCATTTTTGGTAAATTAAGAAAGTGATTATTGTGTTATTGTATGCATAAATAGGTAACATTCACTTTCTTAATTTACCAAAAATTTACTAATTAGGAAACACAAGTTTAATTAATAAAAAGTTTCGAATTTTCAGATATATTTGAATTTCTTAATTTTGAATTTTCATTTTTTTTAATTAATTCGATTATAATTGTAAGATAATTCTGTTAGAATGATATTCTATGAGAATGTCAGATAATCTATTCTGACAAAATAAATGTTTTGAATGAATGAATATTTTGAAGACAAACAATGGAAGAATAAAAACAAAAACTCATTATTTCTTATAGAATACGGGTAACAATTGTTAAGAATTACATTTATTTTTAAAGAATAAAACAAAAAAACAGTCAAAACGGGAAAGAAAACATTAAAATTTAACAACAACTAATAAATTCTAAAAGAATAATGTGGTTAGTTTTAATTTTGTGGTCTGTTCTTCAAGCATCAACTTCTTTGATTCCAACAGAATTCGAATTTGTCATTCCATTCTAACAGAATTGGAATTCGTGATTCCATTCCAGTAGAATTGGAATCTCACCAATATCATTCATTGAATCATCTGTCTTTTCTAGCCAAATGATATTGTTCTAGTGGAACTTAATGGCCTTTCCTTTGTAGTTCGTCCTTGTGCCTCCAATATTTCTTTGATGTTTTTCCAACAAGTGGAGAGGTTTCCTGTGAAGGGTTCAACAACACCTATCTTTTCTAGCCAGAGTTGGACTCTTCTGTTGGGCCAAAAGCTGATAGCTTGTGCAAAAGTCCTTGCTGTTAGCTTATAAGTTCTTTCTTCTTGCCAGTTTTTGAACCGGTGTTTAAGAATGGTGGATTCAAGTATAGGATGACTTGAGGTACATAAAGATTTGGTGGCAATCCAATATTGATTTCGTGTAGTGCGATGCAAGTCTGCAACAGCCACGATGTTAGCAACCGTGACAATGAATTCGAGCATTCGAGATTGGAGATGTGACTCATGAAATCTGAAATGTTTACTGTTTTTACCTGACTTAGAGACATGAAACCCCAAGTGCAAATTCGATGTCAAAATCTCATCTAGAAACAACTCCATAGAAAAAAAATGCTCATTGGGGACTTTCATCAAACAGGTAGCATGCATATATTTTATTCAATAGTAGTAAGCATTTTTCCCACCGAATCAAAAACTAAAATGGAAAATACAAATATCAAAGCAAATCAAATATGCTTCTTTTCGATTTCAATTGGCAACGTTCTTGACAAAATCCATTGTTTTCGATTCGAATAAATAGCAATCAAAACAAATTGACAGAAGCAAAGAAGCATGATGATGGCTTCAAAGAGAAAAGGTATTTTTTTTCAAGAACTCAATATGATTAACATGTTTTTCTTCAATGCAAAATCATAAATTGAATTCAAGAACATACCTAAGTTAGGCTTTTATCCGGATACTTGTGTTGTTGGCGAACAATGGTTGCCACAGGAAAATTCTGGTGATGAATGATTGTCGCCGATGGTGGAGAGGGAGGAGGAAGAAACGACAATCACGATATTATGTGAGGGAGGTGAGGCGCAGGAGGAATAACAAGATAGGGATTTAAAGGAAAGCAATGGGATATTTTAGGGATTAATTAAATTTTTATTTAATTAACAAAATTAATTAATAGGTAAGATTATATATCCTTATTTAAGTTTTTGAAATGATTGGCCCACATTTATGAATACAATAACACAATACTTACTTTAAACACCTGAACTTATCTATATATATATATATATATATATATATGTGTGTGTGTGTGTGTGTGTGTGTGTCTATATATATGTGTATATATATATATATATATATATATATATATATATATAGAAAAGTTCAATAAAGAACCATTATTAACCAAGGAACCAATTCAAAACGTCGAAAGTTAAAGCGATCAACGGCAAAAAGAAGGGTTGTAGACTTTTACAATGAACGCACATACATTGGATTATAACAAAACCCACTTTCTTTTTTCGTATAAAATTTTTCAGGCCATGTTTTTTATCGAAAAAAAACCGACTATATACCATTGTTCACGATTTTTTGTCCTCTTTCCAAAGAGAACCATGATGATATATAAAAAAAGAAAATTTTCATTTTCTTTAATGAAAAGTTAATGTCTATTTTTTTATAGAAAAAAATTAATAAATATATAAAAAATAATGTCTTTTTGTACTTTTTAAACATAGATTCATATTCATATTCATAAAAAAATGATATTTCTGTTCAGATTCACATTGTAAACTTGTTCAGATTCACATTGTGAACCTTCTCATATTCATAGTGTGCATAACAGTAAGTCAGATTCACAGTGTGAATCTGAAATGATCGAGCTTTTTCATATTGTGAACGTTAAAAATTGAAATATTACAGTTTAGATTCACTGTGTGAATCTACATTGATCGAGGTTTTTTTTAACCTTATCATATTGTGAATGTCAAATTTGGGTCACAATTCCCATTAACACCCAAATTACCAAAATACCCTCAGAAGTCAAACTTGGTCAACCCTGGTCAAAGTCAAAGTCAACAGTCAAGGTCAAAAGTCCATGTTGACCCAACTCGTCGAGTGCAGCTTACTGACTCGTCGAGTTCCTTCAGAACTCAGACGTCATGAAAACTCGAGTCAACTCGCCGAGTTGCCAAACAACTCGTCGAGTCTATGTTGTGTCCAGAAGATCAAGAAAATATTAACCAACTCGTCGAGTTACCTCACCAACTCGCCGAGTTCACTCAGAATCCATAAAACGGGAAAACCCTTATCCAACTCGTCGAGTTCACTATGCAACTCGTCGAGTTCCTTCAACCCTTTTCTCATTTAGACATTTTTAAGCGAAACCAAGGGTCCAAACTGTAGATCTAGTCCCCTAGGGTGTAGTTACCAGGTAAAGTTGCCAACTTTACGTGCATGCAAGGCCCCAAGAGGCTAAAACACCCAAAACTAAGCTTAAGAAGAGGTTTAGAGCATGAAGAAAGGCCAAGACTAGATAAAGTTGACAACTTTATGTTCATGGGGCCTAGAGGAGTCCAGATCTGAGACCATGTCCTCATGACAAGCTTAAACCTGAGAATGACTCCATTTTGTACCAAAATGGCCACATACTTACATAAGAGGTGATCTAAGAAATGAAAAGCCAAGGTAAAGACTATTTACCTCCAAATGGCTTATAACATAGAGTAGATGTCGGATCTATTGTTTCTCCCTTTGCTCCAACCTCTTCAAGCTCTAAGTTCCTTCACAACCACACCAAAATCACACTCCAAGGCTCTCTCACCCACTCAAGAAGGTGTAAAGCTCAAAATAGGGTTTTTCTGGATGAAAATGTGGTAAGGGTGGTTGGAGGGAGGACTTAAGGTCCTTTAAATAGGGGGCAAACCCTAAAAATTAGGGTTTTCATGCACAGCCTCTACTTGTCGAGTTGGGGTCCTCCAACTCATCGAGAAGGTTCCATAAACCCTGCAGCCTGATCAGTTTCTACACGATGAGTTGGGGCAGCCAACTCGTCGAGTAGGTCCAAAAATAAGAATATAAAAAGCTTTAAATTTATACCTGTAAGTCGGGATGTTACAACTTTAAGTTTATACCTGTGAGTCGGGTAACTCCTCTTGAAACACATCAGCAAACTCTCTGATGACTGGAACCTCTGAAACAGAGACCTGATCCCTGACCTGTGTATCCACCACATAAACTAAATAACCCGCACACCCGTGTTGAATATACTGTCGAGCCCTGGTGGATGAATAGAACCCTGATCCCCTCCTAGTGCCCTCGTCGTAGATAACCAGTTCTCCCCCACTTGGGGTGCGAACTACAACATGCTGGCCCTCGCAGTCGATCATGACACTGAAGCGACTCAGCCAGTCCATACCCACTATCACATAAACGTCCCCCATTGGGATCGGAATCAAGTCAATCGGAAAGGACACCTTGAAAATCTCTAGATCACAACCCCAATAAACTGATGAACCAGAAATCTTGTGTTTGTTGGCGATGGCGACTCGCAATGGACACTCTAGCTCTCCTAACGAAAAACCAAATTCCCTACTAAAAGATCGCGAAACAAAAGACCGACTCGTCCCCGAGTCAAACAATATGAAAGTAGGTAAGGAGTTCACTAAGAACGTACCTAACATAGGCACAACACATATAAGCATAAAATAAATACAATCAATAGGATAAAGGATAGAAACATACCGGCCACCACATTTGATGCTGCCCTGGCCTCCTCGGCTGTGAGCTGGAAGGCGCGCCCCTAAGCCCTCGGGGGCTCTGCTCTACCTTGACTCCCGTCAGTAATCCTCAGTGTGGTTGGCGCTGGATCCTACACCAGCCTGGCAGCGAGCAATAGACAGTTGGTCTTCACGTGACGAACCTGATTGCAGTGGCAGCAAATCCTCATATCCTGATGTAACGTCCCAAAAATACGAGCCAAAAAAAACATTTTTAAAACATATACTTAGCAAAACATTAGAAATAAAACGTTCACCGATCACATCATTTCACAAAGATATCGCATGTCTGGAAAAACATTATTATAAAACATCATAATGTAAGAGTACAAATCCCCAGGAAGATCTCATAGTGCGGAATACAAGGCATGTGTGTGATGTACCGCTACCGCGCCAGCTCCTTCCCCTTCGAAGAAGAGGTACCTGAAACAAAAAACTGAAAACTGTAAGCACGAAGCTTAGTGAGTTCCCCCAACATACCGCATACCATACAATCACATAACACACATATATTGTCAGGCATATCTGGGTGCCCGACCTACCCCTTCGGTCCTCTCGACCGGATACTGGCTAGCATATCTGGGTGCTGGCCTCCCCTTTGGTCCTCTCGACCGGATACTGACTAGCATATCTGGGTGCTGGTCTCCCCTTCGGTCCTCTCGACCGGATACTGACTAGCATATTTGGGTGCTGGCCTCCCCTTCGATCCTCTCGACCGGATACTGGGGACTATTTCACCCCCTACTACTACCACATAACACATATCACATAGTCTATCTAGCATGGTTGGGCACGACCGCCCCTTCGGCCCTATCGACCGGTAATCTGGGGACTATCTCCCCCTACTGGCACTAGCACATAGCATCATATCATACTAGCACATAAACATATCACAGGTAGTAGCAATTCTATATGAATATCACAGAGACAATCATCTAACATACAACTCCTACTGGTGGGCCGGCATTGTGGCCGTAGACCCACCGCTACTGGAAGGTAACTCACCTCAAAGTAGCTGCTGATCTGAGTGGGAACTGACTATCTTCTGCTGCTGTTGCCCCGGAAATTCTCCGGCTATAAACCCCACAAAACACTCAGTCAAATACTGCTAAACGACCTCAGGGTAAAATGACCATTTACCCTTAACCAAACCAAAAGTCAAAGTCAACTTCCTGTTGACCTGACTCGCCGAGTTGGCTTGCCAACTCGCCGAGTCCCTATCCATTCGATTGACCATAATCCCGTCTCTACTCGTCGAGTTAGGCATCGACTCGACAAGTTTTCCTTCTAAGCCGATGTCCAATAGTCCTTCATCCTACTCGCCGAGTTGTATGAACAACTCGCCGAGTTCGTCTTCATCCGAAGAACATTCTATGCTGCGACTCGCCGAGTTGTATGAACAACTCGCCGAGTCTGCTCTTGAGGCAAGAAGATTGCCTTGAACTCGCCGAGTCATGGCATTGACTCGCCGAGTTACTACATGAGTGAGTCTGGCTTCCGACCCACTGAGTCATACCCCATGACTCACTACTCCACCCCGCGAACACGAAAAGGGGGAAAACTCGGGGACTCGCGACTCGACTCGCCGAGTCCGATGAGCGACTCGCCGAGTATGTCACATGCAAATACTATACACTCGATTTTGCTTGAATCCAGCTCATGCCATTCACAGATCTGGGTTTCTAGGGCATGAATTACACGTAAAGTTTCCAACTTTACGTGTAAATAATCACCAATGAAGGTTTTAGGGCTCAAAATGCACCAAAAGAGTAGATCTAGGGATTTCATGCAATATGGCTCCATAAAGGCAGTAGATCCAAGCTCCTG